GGCTAAAATTAGAAGAGAATATTATGTATTTTTGTATGTAAATTCTGTAAGTTTGTTGCCTACACTGAAGGAAAACCTTTTTGGAAGATTTGAGAGGCTGCAGTCTTTCTGGACACACTTTTTGGATTTTGTTTTACCAAAATAATACTCTAACTTAATTACAGCTATGAGATCTGAATCAGAAATTCACTAAAGGAAGCTTGTGGCATGTATTTGGAGGAGATAAAATTTCATATTCACCATAGTCCCTAGGAACCTTGTCTCTAGGAGCTTATTCAATCTGGGTGACAGTAAAAGATATGCTGTATAGCAGTCTGGCACACCAGCCTAAACACTGTGAGACAAAGCAGGTAGTGATGCAAATAGTTTACTGGCACTAAGGTTTTTTAAACAAAAGAATTATAAATATTTTGTTCACAATTCAAGAAATGTCTAGAGACTATATAAATCCAAACTGCTAAAAATTTAACTCCCATGCAGGTAATATCTAGGAGCTAAAAATCCATCACATTGTATGTGAAATTATTTGAGGCATGATACTCCAAAAAAAAAAAATCCACACAAATTCACCTAACTGGAAATAAATGTATTAGAAAAAAATTCTATTTTTATCAGAGTGTCATTTTGGCCTTTGGAGATTCAACTTTTTACTAAGAAGCCCCTAAAATACTCTGAAAAACTACTGACAAAGATTTTTCCCTCCAGTGTTTCTTTGCTAAGCATCTCTTGCAAATTAGTCACGAGCTCTAATATTAGTCCTTAAGAACTAATTAATCTGCATGCTGGGACAATCTTATGAGATACACATTCCCTATATAAGGGAGCTTCCTTTACTTCAGCATTTGATAGGATTGGGGTCACAACATTAACTAGTGGCTGGGCAAAGGCCCACAACAGTTTCAGAAATACTGCATTTCCATTGTTTAATGTGTTGTTTCCCTGTCTGGTTCTGGCAGCTCCCAGGTATTACTAATGCCAAATTCCTCTCAAACCCCATTACCTATTGTTACAGCAGGCTTCACCCTCAGGCATTCAAATAAGCTGAAACTTCCAGGATGATTTATAAAACAATTTCCTGTGGAAAACGTAACCAGTCTTGTAGAACAGAACACTTAGCTAGTGCCAGCTCAATCTGCCAATGCTTCCATTAAACTACAAGCAGCTTCTTAATGATAACAATTTTGAGTGAAATAAAACTACTGGGATCCAATTTTCTGAACTAGTAACTGTCTTTATCATTTACAGCTTAGTTCAGGTTCTGGGATAACAGCCAACTGCAATACATGTTCTCTGGTTAATGATTAACAGTGTTTTCTTCTAGTCTGGAAAAAATTGCTTGATGACAGTAGTGCAAATCATGCAACACACTTTACTGCATCTTCATTTGCCTGACAGCAGCATAAAGCTGGCAAAAGCTGTCTGTAGGAGATTAAACCTACACAGGGTCATTAAGTAAAGGTTTGAGAAAGAAATGATGAGATAAGGAAAATAAGTCAACCTAGAGTGGATGAATTTCAGCTCATAGCAGACTGGATCATGGTGCCAAAGTTAATGCCTGTTGTGTATGTTAAGTGGGTGTGATAATCTGACAGTTAAAAAAAAACCCAACGTGCTTCAAAGTGCATATTGCTATAGGAGTCTGGCCTTCAGAGGTTTTCCACAGAGTAAAGAAGATATTCCTCCTTGGTAACTTCAAATCTCATGCTGCTGATGGAGATCATTTGCAGCTGGCTGAAAGTTCTCAATGTTTGTCACAAGTCAGGTGAGCACTGGTCCCACGTAAGAGAGTAGAGAGAAAAAAAAATGTTCTATGGCTTCATACAAGATCACCTGCTCAAGCAATGGCAAATCCAGGGATAAAACTTAGCCTGGATTCCTACATTTCCCCCTTTCACGGTATGAAGAGGTGGCTTTGGTGGGGACAAAAGGAAAAGAACAGAGTAAGAAATTCTTTACTACAGATAAAAATCATCTGGGGCCTTGCAAGTTACTCAGCATTTTCAGAAGGCTCTCATACCACATGCCAGGATGGTATTCTGGGATCAGATGTTCAGAAATATTGACTGCCCATGGCATCACAGCAAAATCCCTGCAAACTGCAGTTACCCAGCATTTGCAATTGCTCACTGGCAGTCGTTTTCAATGTAACTATTGCTTTGGTTCCTAGGCATTCAATTTTCACAGTTGCTGAGCAGCTGGAAGTGTAAATCATTACTCTTGGGCTTCCCTGAATTTAAATTCTGGAATGCATTCAACTGGGCACAAGAAATGGAGATAAGCAAAATCAAATGAAATTGTTACTGCCTTTGGACATTGATGGGTTGGTATTTCTCCCACATGTCTGCTTAAGATTTTGAATGACCAATTTATTTTGGGTGAAAGCATGTTTTTATATATTTTTGCAATAGTAAGAAGCTAGTTCAGTCTTCCACTGGCATATTGGGCTGGTGATCTGCTATTCAGACACTTCCTGTGCTTTGCATGCTCTGTAGTAGATTACCCAGTGAAGCTGCACAGCCCTGCCTGCCCTTAGCCCAAGGCTATCATTTAAGACAACCATTACAGCTGAAAACTCAGAAGAAAATGAGAGGCTAGGAACAGGGCTGGAGATTAGTTCACAAAGAGGTAAGAAAGCATTGTTTCAGTAAACGAATAGGTAATATGTCCAAGACTGTTAAAACAAAGAACTGGGCTTTTTGTGGTGAGAGATCAGCTACAGGAATTGCATTCTTGTCCCATGTCACAAAGTCTGTCACATGCTGGCAGGCACTGGCTCCTGCCAGAGAGTGCTTGTTTAGGTTCAATCCCAGTCAGGCTTTGGTGAACCTATTGTGGCATTAAACTTCAGTGAAACC